CCCCCCTCCCGCCGCCGCTGCCCGCGGCCGGCCCCGCCGCAGCCACCGGTCTCGCGCGTCGTCGCTCCCTCCTTGGACAGGTAAGAAGTAGCCAGATGGGGCGGCGGGAGCCTGAGGGTTGAGGGAGCGGAGGCCGCCTCCTTGCAGGGGCTCTCACCCGGCTGGAGCCCGGAGGAAGCATGTGCCTCCTGGGGCGGTTGCCTTCCTCTTGGTAGAGAAGCCCCCGCGCCGCGCCATCATCCTTGCACGTACGTGTGTCGGTGCCCCACGAAGAAGACCCCGACATCTCTCGTCTGGCCGCCCCAGGAGCCCCGGGGACCGCTGGCGAGCCGCGAGCTGGCCACGCGGTGGAAGTGGCGGGTGCACATGGTCTCGTGCGTGGCGATCCCCGGGGAGGCCCGCGCCAGCGAGGTGAGCTTGTGATGGGGAGAGGCTCGGAGAAGGTGATTTTCTTTTTGTAAACCTCGTCCTCCCCACTTCTGGCCTGTCATCCCCTGGCCTCTGGAAGCCATGGAACCTGGACCTGTGGTGTCTGTTATGGATATTTAGAAGCAAATCAAGCTTGCACTAATACTTCGTTGGGATGTGGACTGTCTTTGCTCTGAGAGAATTGCCTGTCTTTGTAACTCAGATTTGGCGATTTATGGAACTAGGGAGGGGGAAGGTGGAGAGGGCGGGGATTAAATTGGTGTTGCTGTCTATATATAGCCTTAGATTAGCTTCTTAATCCAGCCTTCATTCAACTGTATGTGGAGCCTAGAGCTTCCACCGTAAGGGGTGAATAAGTGTGTGCCTTTTTGTGGCACAGATGCAAGACTTGCTTGCTAAAATATGCAGTCATCCCCCCAAGATGCATATCTGTAGCATTTTACAGCATCAATCACAGCTTCTTCAGAAATGACTGTTTAGTTTTCCTGTTGTCTCTGTACAGGCTAGTATTGATGTTTCCCTCAAGACCCAACTGTGCTAGGGAGAAAGACTTGAATAATTAATTATGTGGGTGGTTTTTATTTAGCATCCCCAGGACCACTCTTTCTTTCCACAGTACCAGATATAAAGTGAAATGCCTTTTCCTTTGGCCCTCTGCCTTCATTTTGCTTGAAGCATATACTCACACTTAAGAAATCTAGGGATGGTGTTCACGATTTCTTGCCTTTAACCAGAATCTTTGGTAAACTCCAGCTGCTTATTCCCCAACCCCCACAGACACAGAGCTTCAGCTCGGGGAGGGAGGAGCAGATTCTCACATGAAAATGGTTGGTAATTATTCATCTCAATGTATAACAAAGACACTTCTGTTTGATGATGCTTTAAAAATGATGTAGCTGTTTAAACAAGCAGTAGGGCTTCTGAGAGTGACCAGTACTGTGTAACACTTGCGTTGATACTACTGCCACAGCAATTAATGTGCCAAAGGAGCCCACAAGGCTAAAATATCTGAGAGTAACCCCAGCATGTGATTCATATCATACCAGCGGATGCATAGACAGAATCAGGCACTTAACTGCCAGTATTTCCATCCCTTGTGCCAGATCTGGGCCATGGTTACGTGAAGGTCACACCTGTTTGTCTCACTGGGGTTGTCAGTTCCTCAAGGATAACAACACAGGACATGTTTTCTTGGTGCTTTAAACACCTGGTGGGTATTTAGTCTTCTGAATGTGAGGCTTTAATTTAGAGTTGTTTTTTTGTTTGTTTGTTTGTTTTTTTTTGTTTTGTTTTTTTTTCGAGACAGGGTTTCTCTGTGTAGCTTTGGAGCCTATCCTGACACTCGCTCTGGAGACCAGGCTGGCCTTGAACTCACAGAGATCCGCCTGCCTCTGCCTCCCATATGCTGGGATTAAAGGCGTGCGCCACCAACGCCCCGCTAGAGTTGATGATATTTAAGGACAAAGAAAAACATCCACCTTGAAGTGACATAAATTCCTTGTTCAGTTTGAATTTTGGAAACACATACCTAATGCAGAGTGTTCAGAAGGGTTTCAATAATAGCACTGTACAATATAAATATTTAATGTCAAAATAATATTAATTGATGAATTTATTAAAATGTATTCTACACAGAGAAACCCTGTCTCAAAAAAAAAAAAAAATCAATAAAGTGTATTCTCACCAAAGAAATAAATATTCATTTTGACTACTTAATCTGGTCCAGATATTCTGCCAGATGCTATGCATAGGATTATTTTAATCATTGTTACCATGGGCCAGGAATTAGCCAGTACTAACTCCATTTATAAAAATCAGGACAGAAACAACCCCACAGTTACCAAGTATAGAATCTGGGATTAGATCCTTTTTGATCTGTCTTTAAAATCCTTGTAGATATGGTGGGCCACACCTCTAATCCCAGCACTCAGGAAACAGAGGCAGGCAGATCTTCTGTGTTATAGTAAGACCCTGTCTCAAAGATTAAAAAATAAAATAAATACATGGAAGAACTGAATGAAAAAAATAGAAATACAAAGGAAAGACATGACTACTCCTAGGTATGGTGGAGGAAAAACTTTGTTTGTTTGTTTGGTTTTACGAGACAGGGTTTTTCTGTAGTTTCGGAGCCTGTCCTGGAACTCTGAGGAACACGCTGGCCTTGAAGTCACAGAGATCTGCCTGCCTCTGCCTCCTGAGTGCTGGGATTAAAGGCATGTGGCATCAACACCCAGTGGAAAAAGTTTACTGTAGATTGATTAAAGAGAGCATAGGCAGAATTCACAGTGGACATGACTCTGAGCCATGTGGCCAGAAGGGAGGCAGGCAGACCAGACGCAGCAGCCAAGAGGGGAAAAGAGTTCGGGATTGAGGGCAGAGTATGCTAGCCATACCCTGTCACTGGTAGGGACGGAGGGATGCTGGGAGAACCTGGCAGGCAGGTCCGCTTTAGTAGTTAAATAGGCACCTCAGAAAAGCCTTTACTCTGGCTTTTCTCCATGTGCTTGGTGGGAAGTGGAGAAATACATATCCTTTAACGAGCTATTTTGTCTGGTGTTTGTGCGATCCATCCAGCAGGCCATAGGTCCAAGTCTCATTTCCTCCTCTTTGTCTGCTCCCTTCTTTAGCCACAGCCTTCCCGTATGTGTCTATTCCATAGTTGTTTCTTTTTGTATAAACAAATGGAGGCCCATTAGCGCGCGCGCACGTGCGCGCGCGTGCGTGCAGGTTTGTCTCCTGTTTCTGTCGTCACCTGTCTAAAACATACTTATTCTGGAATGCCATGCACATCCTATCAACTCTATGCTTGTGTCCCTGCTGTCTGCTGTGGATGGATTCCTGAGCTTTTCCTCACCTCCTCCCACCTAGCTATTTCAAGGACCCCATAGTTGAGTAAACACCAAGCACAATCACCCCTCTCACTGGCCAATGAGCAAGGCTCCCAACTGTGGTCCCAGCAGGCATTTCCGGTTGGCCCGGCTCCTCCCACTCTGCCATCAGGTCACCATATTGCCAGTAATTCCCACTCCTTGTTACTCCTTTCTCTTCCTGGATTCCTGCCTTTCCTGTGCACCCAGAGTTACTCTTCTTTACTAAGTGTTCTTATCCAGCTGGCGTGTGTATCTTTCACCTTGGGGCGGGGGGAGCGAGTACAGACCCTCAGACAATTACAGGGGCATAGTCTATACATCACTGACAGATGACATGGTTGCTGGTACCATTATGGGTAACCTCTAATTGATCTATGTTATGGAAACCAGCCAGCACCCTCAAACCATCCTCCGAGTGTTTCTGGGTCTGCATTCCACGTGAAAGTGATAATTTAGCAAATGTCTTTCTCCTCCCATCCTGCTACAACTTTTCATAGGTGTTTGACCTCTTTTCCCTCTTGACTGTAAATTCACCAGGTCAGCTCTCTGTGTCTCTGAAGATATCACCCGGTACCTTGCAGTTAGTAGGTGCTCACTACATGCTGAGTTGAAATCATTTGATCTCAAACTTATTTTCAGTGGATTTGTTTCCTTAGTTCACTAATCCTTCCTGGCAGTGTGTAATGGCACTAAACACACGTAGCGATAACCAAGGGCAAGCGGTCTTGAGACATCTGAAGTCTCTGGGCTTCTTGACACTTGGTAGTACCAGCCAACACAAAAACTTCTCACAAATGTAGCATGCTGTTCTTGATTCCCTGTCCAAACCCCAGGTCTTTCACTGTCTGTTTAAAGGTAGTACTTTTTATTGCAGGGTCATTGACAACTTGTTTTGAGTATTCTTTCTGAGAGGAAGGTTTCTTCCTTTGGTATTTGACTCCTTTGGGGGTTGACACTAGGTACATATCGTGATTGACTAGAAACTTGATCCAACAAGCACTTTTAACTTTTTAGACTAGTATGCTTCTGTTTTCAAAAGATTCCTTATCCTTCAGAGATGCGTTTTGCATTATTTGAGAGGAAAACCCTGTGCAATTTGCTGGAACAACTATGACTAGAGACTGGGACTGAGTGGGAACTCAAACACAAAACTGATTACAATGGTTGAAGCTGTTTGACTAACTAACTTCCCTGTATTTGAAGGTATTTGATATGTTTTACCAGATCTTTAATAGGACATTTGGAAGTATTGCAGTCCCTAAGATATTGCTGCTCCCTGCAACATGAGAAAACAATGTG